ATTGATGAGTTGGGGAATAAGAATCAGGAGAGCTCTCTACGCAAGAAAATCACATATCATGTTCCAAAGAATGCATCAAAATGTCCTAATCATAGGAGAACTTGTAAGTAGAACTTTGGATCAGTGTGTACACCTTAGTGAAATTTTTCCCTATTCTTTTTATGTTTTCTCAGTGTGGGATTGTGGAGGGAAGACCTCTTTCATAAGCAATACAAAAATTACAAGTATTAAATACCCATAGAAGTTAAGGAATGGAGACAATAGGAGGAAAACAAATGTCTGCACTAGAAACAAACCAATGTCTTTTGCATCTGTATCAATTGTGCCTCCAGTCTTGCAAGAACTGTAGTACGCTCGCTCGAACCCTAGCTTATCATGTGCTGGTTCAACAAACTTGGCTTCCAGCACACCTGATAGGAAGATGAACAACATTATGCAACCAAACATAATGAAATTTATGGAAGTAAACAGGACAGAAGACTACCTATAACTCCACAACCATCACTACCAGGAGCATGCCAAAGTCTCCAAAATGGCTAGATAAATAGAAAAACTTGATATCAGTTATGCATGAAATCACATGGGCCATGAAATGACTCCACGAGTTCCACATATACCAATCAGTATGAGAAAACCTAAATGCTAATTGTGAAAGGCATGACCTAAGTTGATAAATCTCAGAAAATACAAAAGACACATAGCCCTAGTTTGGCCCCCCATTTTCTAAAACTCATTTTTCATCAGATTCATTTTCAAACACAAATTTCATGGGACCCACAAATTTTTATCATTTTTTAAATGACACATTTCATCAACTTTTATCAAAATCTACTAAAAATCTAATTTTTAGCTGAACCAAACGGGGGCATAGTAACACTATATGTAACTACTAATATTGATAAATGTAATCACATCACAACGCAAAGGAACAGAAGACAGCCGTAATTTATTCGATATATGGCGAGCATTTAACATTTCATATATAGCAAGGACTACAAAGAAACAGAAGACAAACCTTAATGAGTCGATTTTTGTGATAAACATTAAAACCTTGAACATCAATATGTGCTTATCCTTTACACACCCAATAGTGACAGAAGCAACCATCTAATAACAAAGAAAAAAATATAGTCACCAGATTTGCACGTTAGCTATGAGAAAATAAATCTCTACCAAATATCATTATGACAAAAATTACGTTA